GGTCATAGGTCAGAAAAGGTCACAGACTAGGACAGGTCACAGGACAGGTCACAGGTCAGAACAGAAGAACGGGTTACAGGTTAGAGCAGTTCAGTGGTCAGAGCAGTTCACGGGTCAGAGCAGGTCACAGGTCAGAACAGGGCACAGGTCAGAACAGGGCATTGGTCAGAACAGGGCACAGGTCAGAACAAGTCAGATCAGGTCACATGTCAGAACAGGACAAAATCAGATCACCTCACAGGTCAGAGCAGGTCACAGGTCAGGACAGGTCACAGGTCAGAACAGGTCATAGGTCAGAACAGGTCACAGGTTAGAACAGTTTATAGGTCAGAAAAATTAAACAAAATAAAAGTCTGCAAGCGGTGTTACTTTAAATGGGATAGTCTTTAGACATCACCAGATCCATCCAAACATCTGCTTGGAGGTTTGCTACCAGTAGGTCATGTGATGCTTTGTTCTCCAGACCACAAACGGCTCTGACGTCATCGCGTTCACGAACGAGCTGATTATCGACGCGTCAGAAGGTCAGGAGGTCATGAGCTGGCCAATCAGCTGCAACTTCCTGGTGGCGGACTGGGTCGGCTTCGAGGGGGAAGGACTTCTGTTCGAGATCCCCAAACCAAGGTGGGTCAGGGGTCAGGGGTCAAGGGTGGGTCATGGCAAACCCAGGTGGGTCATGGCAAACCCAGGTGGGTCAGATCATATTGTTTCAAATTTTGTTTTATAATCCAGTACTGATGTGACTTAATGACGAGGCTGATAGTTACGTATCTTTCTCACATGGTGTGTTTCTGACGTCACAGTATCCAGGTGGAGGATGGCGAGCACAAGTTCAACTTCAACATGCACGTCTTCAAGTCCGAGGCGTTCGACAGCCCCTTCCGGACATCCGACTATCCGATCTCTGTAAGCTTCTTCAGTCTTTTACAAACCTGTAAGACCCTTTTGTCGCTAGACTTTTACTGCCCCTTCCGGAAATCTGACTATCCGATCTCTGAACCTTCAGTAGCTAGGCTGTTACACACATTCACACATACAGTGGGCTTCTCAGAGCTACAGGGACAGTTTAAGTCCTACTCAGCTCAATCTGGAAAATTCCGTTTCGCGCCTTAGGTTTTCCCCTCCGAGCCGCTGTACTTCGGGTTGTTTGTGGACACGTCACTGCCGGGTTACGTCATGTTCGCTGAAACCTGCTTCGCGACGCCGTCCCCGGACCCCCAGGCCACGCCGCGGTACAGCATCATAGAAAACGGGTACGTTCTTTAATTTTGAGTGCTAATGTACAACAGCATCATAGAAAACGGGTAGGTCTTTCTGCTACAGCATCATAGAAAACGGGTACGTCTCTGGTATGGACTCGCTGTAGTATTAAAGTACCAGGTAGGGAACGTGTGTACTGCGGACGCACACCGTCCCCGGACCCCCAGGCCACGCCGCGGTACAGCATCATAGAAAACGGGTACGTTTTTCTGCTACAGCATCATAGAAAACGGGTACGTCTCTTTGCTGGACAAGAAAGCGTTTGGCTTATTTCAGAAGGCCTCTCTACAGCATACGGTGGCCCGTAGGGACAAATATGTCACTTGCGCAAACAGTTACAGCTGTAACGATGACGACAGGCTGAGTATAAATGTTTTGTTGTTACCTCCATGAAATGGAAGGTATTGTTTTTGGCGCGTCTGTGTGTGTGTGTGTGTGTGTGTGTGTGTGTGTGTGTGTGTTTGTGTTTCCGCTTTTTTGTACCTTCATAAGTTCATAACGCCTTCATGGATTGTGGTGATATTTGGTATGCTGGTAGGTGTTAGGGGGGCGAAGGTCAAGGTCAAATATGGGCCTCCTGGTGGATGGCCTTGGTAGTGCAGTAGCACTTCCGGTTTAATGAGGAATCTCCTTTGCAGCCAACAGATGTGTCATTGTGTGGCTATCGAGTCAGTGCGCTTGGGACCCGGTTTGATTAATAGGTTTCCCTCAGGGGAATAGGTGACCTATTTCAGGGTTAGGGTTTGTATTAGCTGCAGGCCTGATTAGCTGTGTGTTTGAAACACTTAGTGTACTGTATACAAAAACTCATATATTTCATGGAGGCGTGTCTGTCTGTCTGTGTGTGTGTGTGTGTCTGTATGTGTGTGTGTCGGTGTGTTTGTGTTTCCGCACATTTGTAGTCAGCATAACCCCATAACGCCTTTATGGATTGCGATGATATTTGGTACGCTGGTAAGTCTTAGGAAGACAAAGGTCAAGGTCAAATATGGGCCTCCTGGTGGATGACCTTGGTACTGCAGCAGAACTTCCGGTTTTTGTATCTTTTGTCCTAAACATGCTATGGTCTTGACTTTTTGGTGACAGATAGCTATTCCTGTCAGGAATAAGTGGCGTGAGTTTGGTCCCCCTAGCAGCTTGTTTTGGAACTGCGGGAGATTTTCGGGCGAAACCTTTAAAAGCCAATAAGTCCAGATAGGAACAAGGTATTATCATCATTTTTGGTAGGTAGGTAGCTGAGAGAGAGATGTACATAATTAACTACAAATTATACAAATGATGACTTAATTTGCATAATTAATGAGGAAATTCTATAATTACAGTGTTTTACATTATAGTACTTTCATACATGTAATCTATGGCAGATGGAACATCAACAGATACCAATTATGCAAATGATGACCTAATTTGCATAATTAATGCGAACATTCTATGACTCCTTAGTGGTAAATGATGGGAATTTCATACTTGGTACATGTGTAAGTTAATCAAAAGTTAACATCACGATGCATTTATTATGTTAATGTGGAGGTAATTTACATAATTTAAGAAGAAATTTACATTTACATGTCAAGCCCATATTTCATGGAGGTATGAGATCTCGGAACTCTTGTTGTTGTTGTTGTTGACGTTGTTGACGTTGTTGTTTGTCCCGTTGCAGCTGTAACACTGACGAGTCGCTGTGGATCTTGTTGCTCCGTTGTTGTTGATGATGTTGTTGTTGCTGACGTTGTTGACGCTGTTGTTGTTTGTCCCGTTGCAGCTGTAACGTTGACGAGTCGCTGACTGTGTACGACACCAGCCCGCTGGAGTTCCAGTTCAGCATCGCGTCCACGCAGTTCCAGGCGGAGGCAATGGTCAGGGCACAGGATTTTCTGTCTGTCTGTGTGCCTGTCTGTCTGTCTGTGTGTGTGTGTGTGGGTCCGTGTGCTTGTGAGCTTGTCGGGTCTGTGTGTGTGTAGACGTGTGCGCTTGTGTATGTGTGTGTGTGTGTGTGTGTGTGTGTGTGTGTGTGTGTGTGTGTGTGTGTGTGTGCTTCAGTTGTTGTTTACAGGACTGGTAACGTTGTGTTGTTGTTTGTTGACGCTGTTGTTCTTGTTGTCAATGTTGTTGATGTTGTTGACGTTGTTGTGCCCAGGTGTACGTCCACTGCCGGATGATCGTGTTGTTGTTGTTGCAGATTGTTGTTAATTGTTCTTGCTGTTCTTGTTGCTGACATTGTTGACGTTGTTGTTGTTGCTGTTGTTGAATTGTTGACGTTGTTGTGTCCAGGTGTACGTCCACTGCCGGATGATCGTGTTATTGTTGTAGATTGTTGTTAATTGTCCTTGCTGTTGTTGTTGCTGACGTTTTTGTTGTTGTGTTCAGGTGTACGTCCACTGCCGGATGATTGTGTGTATGGAGGACGACTCCCAGTCCCGATGTGCACAGGGCTGCGTCATCCAGAACTCTCCAATCAGGAACAGGAGGAAGCGGTCACGTGACGACAAAAGACAGGCTCTGATGAAACAAGGACCGATTCTGATCGTCCATGAGAAAGGTGAGTGAACATTGCAAAATGGACCATGCATGGTTCTGGATAGTCTGCCGTATCCAAGCACGCAGATTTGCCCCAGGCACGGTTCTGGATAGTCTGCCGTATCCAAGAACGCAGATTTTCCCCAGGCACGGTTCTGGATACGTGTGGGACTATCCAGAAATCTGCCTGACCCTGGTTCTAGATTAAGCACGGTTCTGGATACGACATGTACAATGTCTGATTCTGTGCGTTTGTCTGTCCTGGTTCTGTGCGTTTGTCTGTCCTGATTCTGTGCGTTTGTCTGTCCTGCTTCTGTGCGTTTGTCTGTCCTGATTCTGTGCGCTTGTCTGTGCTGATTCTCTGCGTTTGTCTGTCCTGATTCTGTGCGTTTGTCTGTGCTGATTCTGTGCGCTTGTCTGTGCTGATTCTGTGTGCTTGTCTGTGCTGATTCTCTGCGCTTGTCTGTCCTGATTCTGTGCGTTTGTCTGTCCTGATTCTGTGCGTTTGTCCGTCCCCACAGCTGAAGACTCCATCCTGCTGTGGTCGGTGATTGCCTGTGTGCTCGGTCTGGCATACCCCGCCCTGTGTGCCGCGGCCGTCTGCCTCTGGTGCGCGCGGCGCCGCAGGGCCAAGATGGCCGCCCACAAACACGGAGACCCCGGCGGTAACATCAACTTGGGCTTTGTCCGGAACTAGGAAGATACAGTTCAGACGTAGCTACTGTTACTTCTCCACGCTCTTCTGTGTAGGAATGCTTCCGCGTGACGTCACAGCTGTTCGTTGCACTGGGAAACTGTGTATTGTGCAGCATTGTACCTAAATGTACGTGCCTGTAGCTAAACGTATGGGGCTGTAGCTAAATGCACGTGCCTGTAGCTAAATGTATGTGACTGTAGCTAAATGTACTGGACTATAGCTAAATGTGCGTGGCTGTAGCTAAATGTACGGGACTGTAGCTGAATGTACGGGACTGTAGCTGAATGTACGGGACTGTAGCTAAATGTACGTGGCTGTAGCTAAATGTACGTGACTGTAGCTAAAATGTACGTGACTGTAGCTAAAATGTACAGGACTGTACCTAAATGTACGCGACTGTAGCTAAATGTACATGGCTGTAGCTAAATGTACGTGACTGTAGCTAAATGTACGTGACTGTAGCTAAATGTACGTGACTGTAGCTAAATGTACGGGACTGTAGCTAAATGTACGGGACTGTAGCTAAATGTACGGGACTGTAGCGGATACCCTGACGCCCGGCTTCCGGCTGGTGGGAAGACCAGATTTAACCAGAAGTCTTACTATCTATGGGCGATTCTATGTTAAGTACATGCACTACTGTAATAACCTTTATTTACTGTGGGGTGGTAGGGTGTCGGCGCAGTTGTATTGTACTCAGTGTATTTTGTATATCATTCTGTCACTGTTCTATCATTATGTTACATCATATACTAGTAGTTTGATATGATTTAGTTCAGTCATATTTAATCAGAAATATGAATCTTCTAAACTAATAATTCCAATGTTTGTTCACGTATTATAATATTATATACTAACGTTTGTGCTTTGGCTAGAAATTGGGGATATCATAAGAATGCAGATCATGCAGGGCTCGCATATATATCTTATACATGGGGATATCATATGGCCTGGCCATATACAGGGCTCCTATCTTATACACGGGGATATCATATGGCCTGGCCATATACAGGGCTCCTATCTTATACATGGGGATATCATATGGCCTGGCCATATACAGGGCTCCTATCTTATACACGGGGATATCATATGGCCTGGCCATATACAGGGCTCCTATCTTATACAAGGGGATATCATATGGCCTGGCCATATACAGGCCTCCTATCTTATACACGGGGATATCATATGGCCTGGCCATATACAGGGCTCCTATCTTATACATGGGGATATCATATGGCCTGGCCATATACAGGGCTCCTATCTTATACATGGGGATATCATATGGCCTGGCCATATACAGGGCTCCTATCTTATACATGGGGATATCAT